CCACAGACTTTTTCCTGAGTGTCAGTGGATCCCGTATTTAGAACCCCAATCTAGCAGAACCTTTCTTTTTATGTAGAAGGAAATAATGAAGAGGTTACAGGAACTAGCTCAATATCATAAAACTTGGTGGAAGTACTGAAATTAACAGAAATTGTATCTTCTCCCACCAAGGCCAAAGCTCATAATATCATCCATGGCTAATTCATGCACTTTCATTTAAAAATGATCACAAGTGTTAGTGTATAATTTGAAAGCATATCTTCATAAATTCTCAGAAAACACTCTGTAAATGAAGGATTTATTACTTTGTGCTCACCTCTGTTTTGTAAATTACTGCTTTACACTAGAATGATCTGTATATCAGTCTATCTCCCCCAATAGCAGGTGAACTCCTATAGAAAAGCCACTGTGACAAATATATATTATGACTCCTGGATCCTTGAATTGGGCTTGGTGTGCTTGTTTGAGCTGAATTGTATTTACTTCATTGTTATTTGTTTACTAACCCACATCCTTCATAGTTTGCTTTTTTTTTTTTTTTTTTTTTACTAGACTGAAAGTTCCTGGTGACAAAAGTAAGTCTTACATACTTCTCTACCCCACAGTGTTTATCACAAAGCTGCATATATTTAATAAAGATTGATATAGAAGAAAGTATTTTTTAAAAGAGTACTTGAAAATTAAGATAATTTGAAGCCTATATTTTACAATGAATTTCTCAAACTACCATAGAAAAATAAATTAATACAAAATTTTGCAGTGAATAAACAGCTCTGCATATTCCATGTTCAATGTGTAATGAAGATATAGTATTTTAAAACTCCTGTATGAATTTCTTGGTTTGGAAAAGTCGACACTTTTAATTATTCTAGGTTATAATTATCATAGGTTATATATTGGGTTATTTATATTAGGTTATATCATAAGCTATTATATATAGGTTATTTAGATAAGCTAGATAAAGAGCATTTGCTTGTCTCACCCTTGGCAGAGTATGTACTACTGTGTTTCAAAAATGATATTCCAGAAATAAAAGTACATTGCATCTTAGAATATTTGAAAAATCACTTTAATTCGAATTTTCTACCAACCACATTTTTCTCATTTTGTCTATATTTGGAGGTTATCTAGTTGCACAGAAGCTTTATTTTCCTTACCATTTTGGGGGAGTTAGCTTCTTCACAAGTGAGATTGCCCATTTTGTTGTGATGAGTGGTTTTATATCTTACTGT